GTGCAAGAGGCTGCCACACTCAGACAGAAGCTCCAGATCCCATGCGACTGTGTTCCTCCAAGCTTTGTTCATCAAGCCCATCTTCTCCTTCCCGGGAGCACCCTGGCCGCCCTGTGCATCTTAGCGAGATGCCCTCACTTGTCGGGACCCGACTCAGAGTCCCCTTCTGAGTGCCTCCTCCGGCCCATCCATCACCCACCCCAGAGAGAGCCCCGCTCACGTCCTGCTGTCCAGGGCCCCCACACTCCGTGATTCTAAACCTCAAGCTCCGTTTCCCTGATGTGTTTCCTCTGTCTCCCAACCGACTGTGGATCCTTTGGGGGAAAAGTCTGGATACCTTTGCTCTTCTTGTCAGCATGGGCCTAACACAGAGTAAGATTCCAAGAAATGCTTACTGATTCAAAGCAAACAAGGCTATACTTGCTGGACTGAAGTTATGACAGACAGCTGGTGGGGGCACTCGGGGGAGCTCTGTGCGTGGTGTGGGGCTCACAGCAAGAGCTGGGCGTGTGTCCTGACCGGGGCAGTGAGTGAGGACCAGCCTGCAGGGGATGAGGAGGAAGTGGAGGTGAGGACGCCAGTCACCCCGCCAGGCGAGAGCACAGCAGAGCTGGGGAGATGCACCCAGGAAGGAGCAGCATCAGATAAGGAGGGCAGGGCAGGGCGTTCCAGGGCTGAGTCAGCGCTCACAAGCCCAGCTTAACAATGGTGATGAATGAGTGGACTCCTTTTTATTATTTTCTCCTTAAATTTCTTAGTTGGCGTCATGAAATTTGATTAGAACTATTAACCCTCTCCTCCCGAAAAGTGCATACACATTTGCTGTCTTTTGCCTGACATTTCAGAACATTCACAGATTCTCTGAAATGGCTTTAGTGACTCCCCACCCAAATGATACCCCAGATGTTAAGAAAAGGGACGAAATTTAAGTTTAGGAGTGACATGCTCTCCACTTCCCCCATCCTTGCACCACACTGCAGCCAGAATGATCTTTTAAAACTGCAAAGTAGAGTTTATACAGCCCTGCTTAAAACCCTTCAGGGCCACCCATTATTTTTCTTTCTTTCTTTCTTTTGGTTTTTTTTTTTTTTTTTTTTGGCCTTTAATTTTTTGAACTTTTTATTTTCTGTTGGGGTATAGCAAAATGACAGTGTTGTGATAATTTCACATTGAAGGGACTCAGCCATACATATACATGTATCCATTCTCCCCCAAACTCCCCTCCCATCCAGGCTGGCACATAACATTGTGTTCCATGTGCTATACTGTAGGTCCTTGTTGGTTATCCATTTAAAATATAGCAGTGTGTACATGACCATACCAAACTCCCTAACTATCCCTCTCCACACCAACCTCGCCCCCCGCACCGGCGACCACGTTTGTTTTCTAAGTCTGCTGCCCCTTACTTTCTATACAAAAGAATCCTTGACATGCCACTCCCTTTTGCACCAGCTTCTTCCAGCCACTTCTCCCTGAATTTTTGCCATCTTGATTAAAATTATTCATCCCAGTTGTTTTTGGTGATTAACTTGAGTGTCATTTACTGCCTGTTAAATCTCAAAGAACTGCCTGACTTAAAAGAAAGCTCTTAATAAATATTTGAAGAAAATATGGAAAAGACTGGGTGCCAGCTGGATCAATATGAGCTCAGTCTTAAAGATGGGCATGTTTTAAAGTCCACAGCAATTCAATGGTTTTCCTGACCTGGGTCATAGAGCCAAGTATGGCAGCAGCACCAGGACTAAAGCCCACAGTCTTTTGATTCCCTCCCTCTGCTTATACCACATTAAGTCCATGCACATGTCTCAGCTGAAATTTGCTGCTGTGGCATCTTCATCTCCCTTCATCTCCCAAAAGCATTCTAACCTGTTAACTGCCACTTATGCTAGTAACGCTTGTTACCGGTTTTAGGAGCACAACCCTGGAAATTCTGGAGGCAGACTATCTTCCTGTTTAAGACGCTAGTAAAGTTGTTCAGTGCTGTTGACTCTTAAACTCCAAGCGAGACGGCCCCCCCCAGCTCCTACACAGTGAACTCATAGACCATATAGTTTATTGATGTGTTTCCAGTAATAAACTTTACACCTGTGTCTCGTGGGAAGCACATGCCATTCAGGTTAAATGTAGAAGATTTTTTCTTTGGTGTTTTTCTCCTTCGTATGGATTCAGACACTTGAAGCTTATTGCATAGAAACTGACCTGGCAGTGACCTGACCTTTAGAAAGAATGGTGGAAAAGTGGCTACAATAGACCTGTATGCACCTGGGGAGACAGAATACGTAGAAGTGAACATTAACCCATCTGGGTCCAATGTCGTTGGCCCAAAATGATTATGGTAAATTGAAGAAAACATCAAACAAACAGAATAAAAAAAATTCCGGAGGGAAATTCAGAGTGGTACACTTGGAGAGAAAAAGTAGATTTTGCCAATACAGGGCCAAGAGAAAAACTGGTTGTATTTCAGCAGAGTGGGGCCTTGGGAGCAGAACAGAAAGTTTAAACAGGGCTGGGCCTTTCAGATTGCCCTGGAAAGAACTGGGCCTGATTCAGGACCAGGATACACACAGAGGCGTGGCAGCCAAGGTCTCCAGGAGCAGAGCTACATAAAATTCATTTCACTTCCTTACTTGATGATTAATTAAAAAACAGTTAATGAGAGCGATCATTCTGAGCAGTGGAATTCAGCCACGAAAGAGTTTAATGACCCTGAGGCTGGGGCAGCAGTGTCTGTTCTGCAGAAATTTCTCCTAAATTTTATAGAGGCTGAACAGAGCTTTCCAGCTCCAGGGTAGCTGGGATAAGGTAGAGGAGAGCTTTGGAAGGCAGAAAGGAGGAAGCAAATATTAAAGTTTGTTTGCAGAAGGGGATAAAAAGAAGGAAGCCTGCATTTATGGGTTGAATGTCTGCATCCTGCCCCCAGTTTCACATGTTGAAGCCCTAAGCCCCAGTGCCATGGTTTTGGAGCTGGAGCCGTGGGTGGTACAGTCAGACATTTGTGCCTGTAGGTTCCACAGTCATGGATTCAACCAAACATGGATCAAAAATATTAGGGGAAAAAAAAATTCCAGCAAGTTCCAAAAAGCAAAACTTGAGTTTGCCGTACACCATCAACACACCAACACCATTTTTATATAATATAAATATAGCATTTATGTTAGATTAGATATTAAAAGTAATCTAGAGATGATTTAAAGTATTCAGGAATATGCAAATACAATGCCATTTTATTTAAAGGACTTGAGCTGATTTTGGTATAGGAGGGGGGCGGTGCTACGGTCAATCCTCCATGGATTTTGAGTTAGTCATTGCTCAGTTGCTCAGTCGTGTCCAGCTCTTTGTGACCCCAGGGACTGTAGCCCGCCAGGCTCCTCTGTCCATGGGATTCTCCAGCCAAGAATCCTGGAGTGGGTGCCGTTTCCTCCTCCAGAGGATCTTCCCGACCTGAGTATCTTCTGTCTCCTGCATTGGTAAGTGTATGCTTTACCACTAGTGCCACCTGCAAAGCCCATGGATACTGAGGGATGACAGTGATTAGTCTTCGATGAGGTCATGAGGGTGGGGCCTTCATAATGGGATTAGCGCCTTTAGAAGCACAGACCAGAGAGCTGGATCTGTCTCTCTCTCCCGTGTATGCACTTGACAAGAAATTGTACCTGCAAGCCAGGAGGAGAACTCTCACCAGGAACAAAATCAGCCAGCACTTCGATCTTAGATCGGCAGCCTCTAAACCTGTGAGGGTAGATTTCTGTTCTTTAAGACACACAATTATGGTAATCTGCTCTAGCAGCCTAAGCTAAGACAACTGCCAATATGGGGACTCGGAAAAGCCATTTTGCTGGAATGACTGGGTCAGTGACTGTGGATGGAGGCAGTTCACACTGGCGGGCAGACCAACTGTGAAAGTCTCTTCCCAGCTCCAGAGTTAGTGATGTCGTAGTGGCAGCTTNAAGGAGATCAGTCCTGGGTGTTCATTGGAAGGACTGATGCTGAAGCTGAAACTCCAGTACTTTGGCCACCTCATGTGAAGAGTTGACTCATTGGAAAAGACCCTGATGCTGGGAGGGATTGGGGGCAGGAGGAGAAGGGGATGACAGAGGATGAGATGGCTGGATGGCATCACCAACTCGATGGGCATGAGTTTGGGTAAACTCCGGGAGTTGGTGATAGACAGGGAGGCCTGGTGTGCTGCGATTCATGGGGTCGCAGAGTCGGACACGGCTGAGCAACTGAACTGAACTGAACTGATATCAGTATAAACCTTTAAATCAAGCATTCTAAATCAACGCTTATCAATTGTTTAATGGGGGAAAAGATGTGATTTGGGGCTTGTGAAGTTGATGTTATTTTAGTCCTTCATTCAGAAGGGATGGGCGTATTATTTTCCTAAATGAAATCACAGTACCCTGACTTGCCATTTCCTTAAAACAATCTGAAACAATGAAATGAGAGCTGTAAATCTGCCACTTGGAACTCTGACTGGTTCTTAGCACCCCCCAGTTGCTCCAACAGTCATGGTTTCAGAGCAGCTCTTGTAAGCATGGCGTATCCCTTCTTCCAAAACAGATGTGAACTCATAAAGCTTCCTAACGATGACTCCAAAATAAAACAGAAAGTATTCTCGGTGGCATATTTTTGGTTTGTTTATCCAAAATCCCTATCTTGCCCCATCCCCCTTCATGATCTGCCTTAAAATCATCGTCGCCAGTTTAGCTGAGAAGTCTTGTAAGTTCTCACTACCCCCCACCCCCAGGCACATCATCCTTTCAGCTCTGGCTCCGAGGACCTCAGCTCTGTATCCCTGAGCATTGCCTCTTATCCATGCTGATTCTCACATCCCTCCGAGTCAGACTTTCCAAGCTAAATTCTGGGGCTGAGCACCAGCAGTTTCACCGGCTCCCGGGCCTGCTGAGGAATGTGTTGGAGACCCAGTGCTGCCCACTCTCTGGGAAGAAAATACTTGGGGAGAGTCTGGCACGGAGGAGCTTAGATTCTTGCTAGCGATGCGCTGCACCGTGATTCAGGCGCCTGAGGTATGGGTGGCTTTACCTGCCTCCTCAGCCTCTGAATGCCTCCCCCACCACCAGGCCCAGGTGCTTTGCTCCTCGATCTTGAGTTTCACAAGTCTGATAACGTTTATCTCTTCCTGTGCATCAGCCTGGTCCACTCAGCTCTGGCCTGTTCCAGCCCTCTGGCCTTGAGCTCTAGCCCTCCTCCTTCCCTCTCCTCTCCTGTGTGGCCCAGCCAGACCTGTCCTTAGGTGCTGGCCCCTGCATCTTCTGGTAGAACCTTTCTGCTGGCAAAACAGCCCCCTGGGTGCCTTTGTTCCAGGCAGCCTGCCTGTCCTCCCCGAAGGCTCCCCTCCTTCACCAGATGCTGGGCCCTGTCACATTAGCGGGTCCTAGGAATGTGCATCTGTTCAACTTGGATCTGAACGACTGGGGGTTAGGAACACCTCTGTCTCTCTCACTTTTTCTCTAACTCCCAGCCCGAAATGTAGGAAGCCTGGTGAGTCTTGGATTCCTAACCCTAATGAGTGTGATATTGTTAAAGAGAAAAAAAAAAAAAGCTAAGCTCATGTGAATTTCACCTGGGGGCCCAAAGCTCCTGTTGCGGACTCTCTGACCCCCCAGGGTTCTTGCATGCTGCACCCTCAGCTAAAAAGGGGCTCATCTTCCTCTTCACCTTCACAAAGGTGAAGAGCCTCTGGCTCTTTCAAGTTCTTTTCACCCAAGAAGTCTTCCTGGAGCCCTGGAGACAAAGCTGGTAACCCTAGTGTTCCACATGCCTCCTATATCAGCCTGATCCTGTCTGAGCACACTGCCTTCTGGTGATGTCTCTTAGCCTAAATCCTCCTCTAGATAGAGAGCACCTCGAGAGCAAGGGTTGTAACCTCAACGCCCGGCATGGTGCCAGGCACACGGCTGGGGCTCAGTAGGTACTTGCTAAGAGTAGAAAAGCCAGCACTGGAGCCTCCAGGCAGTAAGAAGGAGTCCTTCTCACCTAGCCTGCCAAGTGGAGCCCCAGAACTCTCACCACACGGTGTTCACAAGGGTCGACGTGTCTCCACTCCCCCCACTAGACAGAGGGCTCTTCAAGGGCGTCCATGCATTAGCCGCATCTTTGCATCCGGCGAGGCATGCAGTGACCCACGTGGATCAAGTATGTGTTGATCCAGTGTTTCCCAGCAAAGACACCTCTTAGCATTTTGACCAGGACAATTCTTGATTGTCTAAGATGGTCCCACATGCACAATTCACTCAGCAGGCTTCACCCCCACCCACCAAATGCCGATAGTACTCTCCGTACACACATACACACACACACCCGTGTGTACACGCACACACAGACAGAACTTTGCAAAAATCCCTTGCATGGGACAGCCAGGAGAACAGGACTGCCCGAGCTTGTGGTTAACGTCTGGAGCCTCCAGGCAGTAAGAAGGAGTCCTTCTCACCTAGCCTGCCAAGTGGAGCCCCAGAACTCTCACCACACGGTGTTCACAAGGGTCGACGTGTCTCCACTCCCCCCACTAGACAGAGGGCTCTTCAAGGGCGTCTATGCATTAGCCACATCTTTGCATCCGGCGAGGCGTGCAGTGACCCACGTGGATCAAGTATGTGTTGATCCAGTGTTTCCCAGCAAAGACACCTCTTAGCATTTTGACCAGAACAATTCTTGATTGTCTAAGACGGTCCCACATGCACAATTCACTCAGCAGGCTTCACCCCCACCCACCAAATGCCAATAGTACCCTCCGTACACACATACACACACACACCCGTGTGTACACACACACACGGACAGACCTTTGCAAAAAGCCCTTGCATGGCAGAGCCAGGAGAACAGGACTGCCCGAGCTTGTGGTTAATGGAGTTCTGCACCGCGGCTCAGGGGAGCAGGACAGGGCACCCCCTGCAGCAGTGCGTCTCCGGGGGAGGTGGGGGTCAGGTGTCATCTGTGGCCCTGAATCAGTTCAGTTCAGTCACTCAGTCGTGTCCAGCTCTTTGTGAACCCATGGACTGCAGCACACCAGGCCTTCCTGTCCATCACCAACTCCAGAGTTTACTCAAACTCATGTCCATTGAGTCAGTGATGCCATTCAAACATCCTCCATCGTTCCCTTCTCCTCCTGCCTTCAACCTTTCCCAGCATCAGGGTCTTTACTAATGAGTCAGTTCTTCACATCAAGTGGCCCTGAATAGACACTGGTAACTATTTAAGGTGAGGGCAGAGAAATAGAGAGCTTGCCGGGCAATCAGGCAAGAAAAGGGAAATTTACTAGAGGGAAAAGAGAGGGTGACTGGCCCTTAAGGAGAACTGGTGTCCTCCTTTTTTGACGGGGGTCCTTCTTGTATCCCACCAATGAAAAATTCTCTGAAGGGATGGACAATTTTTAGCCTGTAGTTGAGTCCTGTGGTCACGTAGTTGGAGGTCTGGAATCTGGTGGTCTCGCAGCTTTGAGGAGATAGGCGCCAGTGAGAAAACAGAATGTCATTTGAGCAATTTGGTCAGTCTCAAGGATCCCTGTGATTTTATTCTTTGTTTGCAAGGTTAACATAATGAGCCATCTTATCAGTGAGACCCCATGTGGTCCCCATCAGCAACCTGTCTTTGTAAAATGACTGAGTAACCTTATCAGACCCCTGTCTTATATTCCAGGCACTAGGCTAAGTGTCATCCATGGGTTCTTTAATCCTCCAACAATCTATGAGGCCCCAGTTTCCAGAGGAGGAAACTGAGCCTTAGAGTGTTTCAAGCCACTGACCAAGTTAATACGGCTGGGCAGTAGCAGAGCAAAGCTTCTCTCACAACCACTGTGTAATCACTGCAGCATGTAAACTCTGTACCAGGCTTCTTTCATAACCACAAACTTCCAGATTCCCAGAGGAAAGAATCCTTTTAAAATGGGTCCCCTCCTTTTAATTATAATGTAGAGCAGTTTCACAAAATACTTTCTGTATAGTGTTCCACCTACAATGCAGGAGACCCAGGCTCTATCCCTGGTTTGAGAAGATCCCCTGGAGAAAGAAATGCTTACCTACTCCAGTATTCTAGTCTTGGAAACCCCATGGACAGAGGAGCCCAGTGGGCTACAGTCCATGGGGTCACAAAGAGTCGGACAAGACTAAGCAACCAAACAAGTGTTCATTTAGTCGGATGTCAAGTCTTAACAAGAATAGCGGCTTCCACGGACAAGGAAGTGTGGGAAATGCTTCTAAAGGGCACACTAGAGTGAGTGGTAAAACAGTGCCTGTGAAGACAAACAAGTCTTGCTGGCGGACCCTAACCTTTCACAGGGAGTTAGGAGGTGGTTTTAGAACATGGGGAAGTAAATACTCGGGAAAACTACAGCAGGAGCTTGTCTGCCAGGAAATGAGTAAAAACCAATTAGCATTGATTAGGCCACAGAAAAAAACTGATGAAGGATGAGTGACCTTTCTTCTAATTTCTTAGTGATAATACTAATAGGTACTATTTATTATGTGCTGATTACTTCATCTTTTGTAATTCTGGCTGTTATGACCTCCCTTTCACATATAAAGGGCTCCCCTTGTGGCTCAGACAGTAAAGAATCTGCCTGCAATGCAGGAGACTCGGGTTTGAAGGGAATGGCTACCCACTCCAGTATTCTTGTCTGGAGAATTCCATGGACAGAGGAGCCTGGCGAGCTACAGCCCATGGGGTCGCAGAGTCGGACACAACTGAGCGACTAACACTTTCACATATAAAATACTGAGGCCTAGAGAAGCTGGCTAAATGACTTCTAAAGCCGTATAAGCAGTGAAAGGCAGCATCGGATTTGAACCCAGTTCCCTGTAATTTCAGATCTTGTGGTTTTGAATACGATACCCAAAGCCTCCCAGGGCGTCATCACCAGGGTCTTTCCTGGGTGAACCTCCAAAGCAACTCCCATCTCTTCCCATGAGCGCCTTGAATTCGTGGTGCATGTGATACTGCTACAGGACGGGGGACCCCTTCTGGGGCCAGAGAGTGGGCTGTCGTCTAACACTCAGAAATGAACTGTCCGACGAGACGCACATACCGACAAGGCGGACTTTCCTGGGAAGGGGCACCTGGGCAGAGAGAAGCAGGGTCAGGGAACCCAGGAGGACCGCTCCGCCACGTGGCCTGCAGTCTCCGGTTTTATGGTCGTGGGGTGAATGAACTCCCAGGTCGTCTCTTGCCAGTCATCTTGCTTGGTCCATATTTGTTCTGACTGAGGGTCCTTCCTGGCGGCGTGTGCATCGCTCAGCCAAGGTGGATTCCAGCAAGAAGGACTCTGGGAGGCTGCTTGCCTCCTCCCTCTTTCACATCCCGCCCCCCCACCAAATCTGCCTGGTTAGTCTTCAGGGGCAGCACGGTGTTCTGTGTCGGGACCTCCTGTTGTGAGACAACTCAGGCAGGTGCGCCTGGCCAAGGTAGGTGGTTTTGGTCCACAGTTCCCTAACAATAAAGTAGTCAAAGTGTTAGTCGCTCAGTCGTGTCTGACTCTTTGTGACCTTGTGGACTATAACCTGCCAGGCTCCTCTGTCCATGGAATTCTCCAGGCAAGAGTACTGGAGTGGGTTGCCATTTCCTTCTCCAGGGGATCTTCCTGACCCAGTGATGGAACCCAGGTCTCACTTTATTCTCAGCATTGCTTTCCAACGTGAATTAGTTATTTAGTCTAAGTACTAAATGTGAAGTTGTTTTTGTTTGTTTTTTTCCTGGTGTGATTTACGTCCCTTAATTTTACTATTAGAGTTTTAAGGTGACAGATTGCTATACTCTGTTACATAGCATGTTCGTGTTGATGAAGTAGCATCCATCTATCTGCTTAGGCATTTTCCCGGTCTGATCGCCCTCCTGAGGTCGGTCCACCCTCCAGGAACGGCCGTGGTGGCCACGACAGAGCTCACCGTCTGCCCAGGTTAAGTTGCAGGCAGTGTCGCCATCCGACTCCTCATCTTGCCATTTCCTCTTTCCTTTTCGGCAGACGTGGGTGCGTTTTTTGAAGAGGGGATGTGGCTGCGGTATAACTTCCAAGCCCCCGGGATCGGGGCCCGGGAGTCGGGCGGCAGATCGGAGAACTCCCCGGACCCCCAGAACGGAGCCGCGGACCTGGCGGGCGAGGAGATCCGCTTCAGCTTCAGCACCACCAAGGCGCCCTGCATCCTCCTCTACGTCAGCTCCTTCACCACCGACTTCCTGGCGGCGCTCGTCAAACCCACCGGTAAGGGCGAGGATCCCTAGCCTTCTGCCGTTCAGTGTTGGCGGACAAGTGAGCTTGTGGCCCGGCTCTAGGAGACNGAGTTCTCCAGGCCAGAATACTGGAGTGGATAGCCTTTCCCTTCTCCAGGGGAATCTTTCCAACCCAGGGATCGAACCCAGGTCTCCCACCTTGCAGGCATATTCTTTACCAGCTGAGCCACTAGGTTTGAAAGATAGGTGGGAAAAAAATGTTCCTTAGGATTTTCTCTTTCAGACATTATTTCTGAAGAAATAAGCCAAAAATCAGACAAAGATTCAGCATGAAGATGTTCATCATAGTTTATAATGTTATTTATGATAGTAAGAATTGGTAAGGACCTTGTTCAATTTTAGTAAAATGGCTAGTCAAAGGGAGTCACTGTTTATGGGATACTATGTAACCATTAAGAAAAATATTTGTGAAGAGTAAGTAAAGACATGGAAAAAATTTCATATGATATTATGTCAAACCAAAAAAAAAAAAAAAAAGGCATGAGAAAGCCTTGACTGTAAAATATCAGCCAAGCTCCTCTGTCCATGGAACTCTCCAGACAAGAATACTGGAATGGGTTGCCATGCCCTTCTCCAAAGGATCTTTCCTACCTAGGGATAAAACCCTGGTCTCACATATTGCAGGCAGATTCTTAACCATCTGGGCCACCAGGGCAGCCCCAATATTGGTTTAACTCTGTAAAAAGATGGGTAGAAAAAAAGACAATAATATGAGCACAAAGTATCTCTGTTGCAATAGTTGAATTGTTTCTCCCAGGTAATAGTTTCTACCTATGTCAAATGCTCTTAATAAGCAACTGGCACTGTTCTCATCAGAAAAAAGTAGTAAGGAAAATCAGGAAGTAAAGAAGCAGAAAACTGTGCAATTCCTGCTCCCCAGGATTTCACATGTTCTTTCTTCTGCATCAGATTAAATAGCTATTTAATCCACTGATGTTCTCCACCCTTGTGTCCCAGCCTGTCCTCGGTGGGCAGGGAGGCTGGCTGTCAGCTCTAGCTCATCAGGAATGTCATGAAGACTCCCCAGTAGATGCTGTATTGTCTGCTCCTCAAGTCTGCTCCTGTATTGTCTGCCACGTTCCCATCTGGTCCCAACTCTCTCCAGTAACTCACTGCCCCACAGCCTATACCAGCGCCTGCAAGCACTCACATGTGTGTTTATGGGCATTCATCACATGCAAAGGCTTTGACTAATGTTTCCATACTAATGGCTCCCATGTAAGGAAGTCCGAAGCTGTATTAAGTGTTTCACATGCATGAATTCCCAAGAGCACACACTGTGTAAGGTAGAGTCCATTCTACCCTCTTTCTGCAGGTGACAGAGTGGAGTGCAGAGAGGTTCAGTGCTTTGCACACTTGGCCTGTGATGGCACAACCAGCTGGTGTTCCTGAACCTGGACCCAGAGTTCTCCAGTGCTCTTTCTCTGCTGCAGAGATCTCTAGAACACATGGGGCATTTGCAAAGTATAGACAGTCAGCTTCTCTCTAGTGATTGCAAAGCCATCCTCAATTGCTGCTGAAAATCTGGCTTTTCACACTCCAGATACTGCATATTTTATGAATTGAGATTTGAAGCTAGACAAAATTTGAGCAACTCATTCAGGGAAAAGAAATCAATGAGGACTAAGCCAAAATATCCAAGATAAAGAAAGTAATAAATAAAAAGTCTTAGCTAAATGCCCTGGCATCTCTCAAACTTGATGTGTTGGGAGCTGCATTGTCCTCAATGCTCTTGGAACCTCCCCACTCCCCTGGTTCTGACGGTGCTGCCGCGTCTAAGACACGAAACACACAGCCTGGCGTCATCATGACCACTCCATCCTTCCCCTTCCTGTGGGTCTATTCCCAACAAGTCCTGTGGGTCCTGTTCTAACCATGTCCTTCCCAAGTGGCCCCTCCTTCACTTCCCCACTGCTCCCTCCTGGCGAATGTCTTCTATTCAGTGCTTCCTGACCCATGTCGTGGCACACATGGCATGTTGTATGTGAATGGCACCTGGGCAGACGGATGAGGTTGTGTTTGGGAGGTCACCCGCCCAGGGGCTCCAGCCGCCCTCTCCTCCTGCAAGTCTGCCAAGGCCTGAGGGGAGCCTGCTGCTGGCACCCCGGGGCCCCTCCTGGGGGTAGGTGCACCTCAGCACGTCCCCAGGATGCTCCGTTCCCACCATCACTCTGCTCCCCATCACCCCATCCTCCTCAGCCAGAAAAGGCCTTCCTTCACACACAGCACCCCTACTAAACAGCCAGGAGCCGCAGGAGGGGTCCCTAGTCCCACCACCTTCCATCAGGACCCACCAGGCTCCCGGGTGAGAGCTCAGGGTGCAGAGCCAGAATGTCTGGATTTGACTTCTGCTCCTGTGTTTGCAGACTGTGGGGTCTGGAGCAATCATGAGCCACACCGAGCCTCGGTTTCCTCCTCAGCAACACAGTGACTCCCCCAGAGCAGTGCTGTGAAAGTCAAATGAGTTAGTGAGTGTAATGCACTGTACACACGTGTATAGTCGGTCCTAAAGGAAATCAACCCTGAATGTTCATTGGAAGGACTGATGCTATAGCTGACACTCTAATACTTTGGCCACCTGGTGGGAAGAGCCGACTCATTGGAAAAAGGCCCTGATGCTAAGAAAGATTGAGGGCAAGAGGAGAAGGGGACGACAGGGGATGAGATGGTTGGATGGTATCATTGACTCAATGGACAAGAGTTTGAGCGAACTCCAGGAGATAGTGAAGGACAGGGAAGCCTGGTGTGCTGCAGTCCATGGGGTGGCAACTCAAGTCCATGGACATGACTTAACCACTGAACAATAACAATAATACACACACGTGCATGTGTGTGTGCGTGTGTTAGCAGTAAGTATCCAGAGCCCACTGATGGAGTCTACAGTTTCCCACATATTGAGGCCACACACCCCTACACTTCCTTTTCCGGGAACTCTCTACTCCCCAAGCACCCCAAGGACATCTGCCCAGGTGCCCACTCCATTTCCCTTGTCTGGAAAAGCTCCATCTTCCTCCGTAACTTCATACCTGCCTTTTATTCTGGACCCAGATCCAGTCTCACATCCTTGCAATGACTGCCGCGTCCTTTCAACTCCTATCACACTTACTTCCACTGTCATTTGTTTGGCTTTTAGTGCTCTGTGTGGTTACCCGTCTCTCTTATAAATACCTCCTGTCTTCCCAGCAGGATGAAAGGCCCCGCACTCTGTCTCCTGCCTTCAGCAGGTGCTCTGTGAGTGTTTGCTGATGGCAGTGATGATGGCCAGGAGAGAATAAATCTGTTAAGCACATTATTTGCTGCAGCCAATAAAAGAGCAGTCCCTTATAACTGCTTTAATTCACTNTTTTTTTTTTTTTTTTTGGCATAATTACTGGTCCCTCTGACTTTTAGCCTTAAAGGCGGAGCCCTCTCTTTCTTCTGTTTGTATCCCCAGATCAGGCACAACCTGGACTATACTAAGGGTGAGAGGTGGGTGTCTGTCTTAGAAGTGGACATCACACTTAAAACCAGGCAGGCAGTCCACTTCTGGACCTTGAAAACTTGGTTCCATGGTGCTTTGCACAGGGCACTAAATAAGTATATTCTAAAGAAATGAATATTTAAATGATGAATGAATACAGCTATATATTTTTAAAACTGGATATATATATATATATATATATAGAGAGAGAGAGAGAGAGAGAGAGAGTCTAAAAAATGGTACTGATGAACCTATTTGCCTGGCAGCAACAGAGATGCAGATATAGAAAACAGGCTTGTGGACACAGCAGGGGAAGGAAAGGGTGGGACGAATTGAGAATGTAACATTGAAACATGTACACCGCCGCTGCTGCTAAGTCGCTTCAGCCGTGTCTGACTCTTCGCAACCCCATGGACCACAGCCTACCAGGCTCCTCCATCCATGGGATTTTCCAGGCAAGAGTACTGGAGTGGGGTGCCATTGCCTTCTCCACTGGATTGTGCAGTAATATCTAAATTGGCCCGTCTGCCACAATTGTCTAATCTCTTTTTTAACCCTTTGCATTACTACAGAAATTAGCTTTCTAAATGAAACCTGATTTTATTGTGTCCTCATCCTGCTTTAATATTTAATGTTTCTTTTGACCACCAGTCTAGCACTTGGCACCCATATATTGTTGATGAAGTGTTTACTCACTTGAGGGAAAACTCTCTCGCCATCAGGATTGCATCTCAACTCACACAAAGGGGTTTCTTTTCCTATTTACATTGCCATCCACATTACAACTCCTATTTTTTTAAAGTGTTACCTAACCTTCAACTAATTTCATTTATTTTATTTAACAAAACTTTACTATATACCATGTGCTCACCTAAGCACTTTNGTCGGGGGGGTGGGATGGAGTGGGGGAGTGGGAGGGACGGTTGGACGTATGTATGCCTGTGGATGATTCATGTTGAAATATGGCAGAAATCAACACAACATTGTAAAGCAATTATCCCATTAAAAATTTAAATGTCACCAGTAAAAAAAAAGAAAGAAAGAAAGAAAGAAGCACAGCTGGGTGTGATCATACAAAGTCAGAGCACCAGAAGTAAAGTGGAAAATAAAAACTGAAGACAGTCGGCTGGTTTTTCCCTGCATAGAGCCACACAGCTTTCCTAATCATCTCCTTCACTGCCAAGCAATCGATTGTTTTTAATGCCATTTCAGTAAAGAAGAACTAGGGTAAATCACTGAGTGGTGGGATGAGAAGCAGCTCAGGAAAAAGGTGTGGCATGTTCAAAGGTCCTGAGGAACGGAGAAGAGTTGTAATTTCTAGGGAATAAGCCAAGTGCAAGGTAGCTTGACTGTAAACAGTGAGAGGGTAAATGACTTGATTTTAAAACAAAGTAACTGGCAACCTTTCAGTCAGGACATCATCAGCTATATTAAAAATGTATGTCTTTATCCTGTAAGCAACTGGAACGTTTGAAGAGCTTTATGTGGACCAGACAACTAATTAATTAGGCATTTCGAAAAGATTACTCTGCAAAGAAAACATGGGAAAGAAGAAGCAGGGGAACCATCGTTCATTCATTCAGTGAGTATTTATTCAGCACCTACTATATATCAGGCATTATTCTAGACACTGGCAGCTAAGTCATGAAGAATATAAACAGGGGCTTCCCTGGTGGGCCAGTGGCTAAGACTCCAGTCTCTCAATGCAGGGGTCCAGGTTTGATGCCTGGTCAGCAAACTAAACCCTACATGCTGCAACTAGGACCTGGTACAGCCACATAAATAAATAAAGAGTAAAATATTTTTTTAAAAAACAATATCAACAAAAATTCTTACTCTTGTGGAACTTACATTTGAATGGAAGAAGACAGACAATAAATAAATGAAGTGCAGTCTGTAGTATGTTGTATGGAAAGAACTATCATGAGGGAAAAATAAAGCAGAAAAGTGAGGGGGCTGGCAAAAGGAAAGCAGTAGGTAAGTTGTGCTTTTGATAAGGAAGCCACAGAAATAATCACTGAGAAGATAATATTTGAGCAAGATCTAAAGGGGGTGAGGGCTCATCCATGCAGGTAGATAGCTGGGAAATGAGTGCCTGGGCAGAAGAACCAGCAGGTGCAGAGGCTCTGAGGCAGAAACATGCTGGCATCTGTGGAGAGAGCAGAGAGGCCTGTGTGGTCAGGTGAGGAGTGAGCGAGGCGGAGAGTAATGAGAGGCTGGGTCAGAGACAGTGGGGACGATCATGAAGGGCCTGGCTGGCCAGGATGAAGACTCAGAGTGAGATTGTTGTTGTTGTTCAGTCACTAAGCTGTTTCCAACTCTTTGGGACCCCCTCGACTGTAATACACCAGGCTCTCCCATCCTTCACTAACTCCTGGAGTTTTTTCAAACTCATGTCTGTTGAGTCAGTGATGCCATCCAACCATCTCATCCTCTGTTGCCCCTCTTCGCCTCCTGCCCTCAATCTTTCCAGCTTGAGGGTCTTTTCCAATGCGTAGGCGCTTTGCATCAGGTGGCCACAGTATTGGAGCTTCAGCTTCAGCATCAGTCATTCCAGTGAATATTCAGGGTTGATTTCCTTTAGGATGGACTGGTTTGATCTTCTTGCAGACCAAGGGATTCTCAAGAGTCTTCTCCAGCACTGCAATTGGAAAGCATCAATTCTTTTGTGCTCAGCCTTCTTTATGGGATAGGAAGGTTCCTGAGCAGAGGACAGCTCTGCCTTCCGTGTGCAGAGGAGACTAGGGGTGGAGACTAGGAGACTAGACTGGGCTGGGGAGACGTGGTGGAAGGGCAGAGGCAAGCAGGTTAGTTAGTATGAAGGCTAGTACAGTAATCCAGGCAGAAGAAAAGGATGGCTTGGTCCAGGGATAGACACGGAGGTGATGAAAAAGGTAAGATTCAGGGCATGTTTTGAAGACAGAGTCAAGGAGCTTTGCTGGCAGATCATACGTGTAATACAGGAGCAAGAGGGGAGTCAGGGTTTTTAGGCAGAAATAGCAGGAAGGATAACATATCCATTAACTGAAATGTGGGGAAATTGTGTTGAAATAGTTTTAGGAGAGAAAGTTCAGGAGTTTGGTTTCTCGTATGTTGTTAGCTGGGGTTCCAGTGAGACATCTCCGTTAATGGATGAGTAGCAAGAGAGCAGAGAAACAGGGGCTTGCCTGAGAGTGAAGTGGGGTGAAGAGTGGCCACATGATCCAGGCAGAAGCGGCTGCAGGGGAAGTCCAGGTGATGGCCATCAGGGGAGTGGCCGGCACAGAGGCCCGGGGACGGGGCGGGAGCTCTGCATGGAGGGGCGGGCTCCCGAGGGAACCACACCAGGCGTTCTAGGTGCCCGCGGAGGCCCTGTGGCTCTGGAGATGGGGCAGAGTGGGTGAGCTTAGACACGTTTAGGAAACAGAAGTCTGCAGTTACTTGGTTGAAATGCTATAAAGCAATTTAGGGTCAGGGGTTAAGAAAAAACTCAGAAATAGTGAAGGCTTGTCAGATTTGTTCAAAAAGAAAAAAAAAAAAGGGAAATGCAAGTAATTCATGATTGGTCTGATGGATGTTTCTTTCAATTCCAGGGACATAGTTCCATATTTTAAAGAACACACGTAATGCTAAGGAAAGGCAGTGTTCAGAATCAATTGCATTGGTTTACATCCATATAAGGGACTTCCCTGGTGGCTCAGATGGTGAAGAGTCTGCCTCCAATGCAGGAGACCTGGGTTCAATCCCTGGGTCAGGAAGATCCCCTGGAGAAGGAAATGGCAACCCACTCCAGTACTCTTGCCTGGAAAACCCCATGGACGGAGGAGCCTGGTAGGCTACAGTCCATGGGGTCTCAAAGAGTCGGACACGACTGAGCGACTTCACTTTCAATTTTCACTGTCACATCCATATAAGGGTGTGAGAATCACCTGAAAGGAGATCTGGCCAAATATTTAGAGTAGCTATCTCTGGATGGTGGCATTCCCAGTGACTTTCTTCTTTACTTTTCTGTTCACTTCCTAGGTTTTAATTACCATGTGCTGTTTCACAACTTAAAATCAGAATATTAGTTCTGTTCCTCTGGAAGGAAAACAAAAGAGGCAAGGAAGAGTCTCTGAGGTGATTTACAGTTAGCCACACTCTTGCTAAATTACTGGCTCCATTTTTAAGCTCTGAGATGTCAAAAGCTATTAACACGAAGATTCCAATTTGAGTGGAAATATGAGATAAAAAGTTGATGCCTTTAAATAATCATAAATAAGAAATAAAAGCTACATTTGCTGTACAGATTAATTAAAAGCAGGACCTAGAATATTATATTGGTCTCTCTGAATATTGCTTGTCATCAGAGGGAAGCAAGAAAGAGGATAAAAAGAAAAATTTGTTGAGGCAAAGTGCACAACAGCTGAGAGGCAGTGAGGACCCATCTTTTTATTGATTTGCATTTGGATTGATGAGGTCTCTAACCTAGAATAAAATCCTTTGCTCTGTTTTCTTGGTCTCAGTGAAGCCACCAAAGTGCCATGTATTTATCTTTTGTAAATTATGTTTATTTTTAATACTCTGTGCTCATGATTCTTTTCTATGGCAAATGTCCCACTTTTCTGATGGCATGAGACCATCCTGGCATCCTGCATTTATATTTTATTTTACCGAGTATTCTGTGGGGCCTGTCTCCACGGTCCTGTATGGTGTATATGTTCTCATCCTGCCTTCCCAGACACACTCCACATGTGGATCGTTTATACCGTTTGCTGCTTCAGTTTGGAGATGATGGTCACGGATGGCCCATAATTGGTAGATGTCAACATACGTGAGCCTGGTGCCATGAACCTTTATGGATTACTGCACCTCTGAGCTGGTGGCTCAGAATGCAGAACGGCGATCGTATTGATGGACATCGAAGCCGTGTTTAATGGAGACAAGCCCCCAGGGCTGGGGGCATGGCGTTAATATGAAATCCAGAGCAGAGAAATGACTGAGTCTCTTTCCTCTCCTCTATGCAGGAAGCCTCCAGATCCGGTACAACCTGGGTGGCACCCGGGAGCCCTATGACATTGATGTGGACCACCGGAGCGCAGCCAACGGCCAGCCCCACAGCGTTAACATCACCCGCCGTGAGAGGACCGTCACTCTCAAGGTGCGCACGCGTCACTCATCTGCCCTCTGCAGATGCGCGCGGCCTCTGCCCTCTGTCGCACTTGAGTGAGTGCTCCATCACTCAGGCGTGTCCAGCGCTTTGCAACCCCAAGGACAGCAGCCAGCCAGGCTCCTCTGTCCACGGGATTCTCCAAGCCAGAATGCCAGAGTGGGTTGCCGTTTCCTTCTCCCTCTGTCATACTTGGCTGTTGTTTTGGGGTTTGTTTTTGTTTTTGTTTTGTTTTGTTTTGGGTGGTTGGGGCAGGTGGAAGAAATGCTTCTGATACATTCTTCTACAAATTGCTAACCAGTGACGTAGAAAGATATGCAATTGGTACAGGAAAGACAATGACGGTGTTGATGGACAAGAGATTTCTTGGGAGAAGGTAGAATAAATGTTTGCTCTATATATTCTTCGTAGCTTTTCCTGTGTGTAGGCCTGCACATCTATCAGCCTTCTGCTTTTATCTATTGCAGCATCTTTACCCTCCATGGTCTCAGATGTCTGAGGCTTATCACGTTTCCCAGCAAAGGTTATTTTGGTTTATCTGACCTACTTCCTTCACAACTCCAGTGCAGTGTGAATAACTGTTTTTTTCCTTCTATAGATGCTTTGCCTTAAACATCCTCCATACACATACCTTCCCCAGCATCTCAGACTCTGGTTGTGGGCCTTCTGTACACAAAGGGATAGTTTTATTATGACACTCAAATTTTATTTCAGGTTCATTGATTGTCCCTCCTCCCTCACCCCCCCATCACTGAGTTTTACAATGAAGAGAGCCTGGGAGACACCATGAATAAAACATGGCATGAGAAGGTCTCCCCGGGAACTGAGCCAAAGATCAAGGCTGGAACTGTCACTGCGTTCTCTAGAAGGAGTTCAAAATAGATAGCTGTCAGGAAGAAGAGCGGCAGGGGGATGCTGTTTTGTCGGCCGAGCGGAGCGCCTCTTGGCAGGGCTCAGCAGCCTCTCCGACCTCATTCAGATGCGGCTGGCTGCCGTGGGAAGTTCAGGTTGCAAAGAAGAGGCAGAGGGCCCGTCTATTTTTGAGCCCTGGTGGATCTCAAATTCATAACGCGATGTGGAGTTTATGCTTGGCCTTTAGCAGGAAATGCTAGAGAGCATTTTCAGGAGAGCCTTTCCTAGGAAAATGACAACGTGCAGAAACAGCTTATTGGGCAGTCAATCAGACAGAGTGTAAATAAGGTTCTCTCGTAGTGGCGGACAGTTGCTGAGCCCAGTGCAATGCTTGGCACACGGCAGGTGCTACAGATTACTTACAGGGTAAACCACCCCCATCCTTCACTGCAAATTCAAGTCTGATTCAGAAAAGACAGCAAGTCCAGAATTAATATGGATTATACCGTTATAGGATACGAATGGTTTTATACCGTTCTACCAACATTGTGTTTACTGGATTTTGATTAGACTCATTCACTTATTTTAAACTATGCCATCTGCCACCTCTCTCAAAGAAAGTGACTCTCTTGCCATTTCGCCATTGCAAAATAATATTAAAAGTTAAAAAAGCTCAGCAGTCAGCTTGAAGGACAGTGTCATGGAAGACAGCTGTGGAATTGTGAAAGAAAATGCCTTGTGTGTTGGGGCTGAGCCTTGTGGTTTGAGGAACTTCAGCAAAGACGAGGGCTGGGTGAGCGGGCGAGGAGAGTCCAGGTGATAAGCTAAATAATTCCATTTCTGGGTGCAATTCTCCAGACGAGAGTCTGGAGCAAAGTAGGTCAAGAAGGCCTCCCTTCTGGCAAGTTCCACCAACTGGGAAATCTTTGAAGAAACTCTTGAAGAACAGACATCAGCTAAATCAGAACTGCTGTCTGCTGCAGTGAATCAGAGATTGCCCTGAAGAAGGAGAAAGGGGTGGACTATTTTAAGGACTTGGGCTTTTGAGGCAGGGAGAGGCCGAGAATTCCAGACAATGCAGCAGCCAGAGGCCTGCAGAGTCCAGGGCACGGAGGACGGCTGGGGAGGTGGGGTCTGCTGCTACTGCTCTGGGTTCTTCTGGTTGCAAATGACAGAAAACCAACTCAGAATTCATTTGTAGGGGAAATTCCTAGTGCAAGTTATAAAAGAAAGGAAAGAAGAGGAAAACCACAATCTGGAAACAGAATCCAGGTGGCCTGGAGGATTCAAAGACTAGGCCTCCAGTGAGTGCCTCTCCTAACTCTCCTCTCTCTCCCCCCATCATCTCTGCTTGCCCACCTCCCTCTGACAACTGAATTAACTCTTCTTGCAGCAGGCTCCATCTTCCACACATCATGGGACCCAGACACTGAAGTCCTGAGCCCGTGTCTTCCCAGTTTTGCTATCAGAAGGAAGGTCTCCTAGTGTCTCGGTTCTCATTTTAAAACCCAGGGGACGTCTCTGGTTGGCCAAACTGGGGTCCCACACTCACCCTATCATGGGGAGCAGGGAGCAGTGACTGAGGGTCCACAATCAGACCTCATGATCAGAGTGGGGAATTTGGGGGAGAGTCCTCCAAGGAACAGGACTAGAGTTCCAGGAAAAGGAAGACATGGATGAGGATGAAAAACACTGACCGAATAACGCTTTGAGGTAAACAAAATAGAAGCAGGAAGCATTCTAAAAGACATGGAACAGGGCTTCCCTGGCGGCTCAGTGGTAGAGAATCCGCCTGCCAATGCAGGAGGCATGGATTCAGTCCTGATCGAGGAAGATCCCACGTGCCTCAAAGCAACTAAGCCCGTGAGCCACAACTATTTCACTTTTGCACTAGAGCCGGGGGGCCGCAGCCACGGAGGCCCATGCACCCGGGAGCCTGTGTTCTGCAGCAAGAGAAGTCACTGCAATGAGGAGCCCGTCACTGCAACTGGAGAGGGGCCCTTGGTCACCGCAGCTGGAGGAAAGGCCCGCACAGCAGTGAAGACCCAGCACAGCCAAAAATAAACAAACAAATCAGCTTTCTTTAAAAAAGAAAAGGCATGGAGCAAGTTCAGTCATAGACATTGTGGCCACGGGGTTGGACAGCCCTGCCCGCCCCAGTTCTGTCACACAATGGGCTGCAATTGCCCTGAGATTTCTGGACATGTTTGGAAAGCCAGACGCCGTCAACCGCTTGAATCCCGCCTGGACAGACGTCATGGTCTGGAGGGCTCTGGTCTTTCTCAGCCCGGATGGAAAGCAAAGGTAGACGCGGTGGAGAAAGAAAGCACATGATGCCTCCTTTCAGACCAGCGGATCTGGTGGGCTCCCTGGGTCCACTGCCTGCTTTCTTCCAGGCAGGAGAGCCTGTTGAGTATGGACATAACTCCAGGTGTACCTTTGGAACTTCAAAAAAAACACTCTAATTTTTTTCTTTCCTGGGAACAGTCTACAAATCCATCTTGAGAACTCCTACAACCTCAAGAATGCGTGGAGAACGATATAATGAAATGTTAATCATGATTATTTCTGTGTAAAGGATTATAAATGGTTTCATTTCCTCTAGAGTTTTCTATATTTCCTCATTTCCTATTACTAATGTGTGTTGCATTTTTATAATTGAACAAAAACATAAAACACATATCTGGTTCTATTCCTGGGTTGGGAAGATCCGCTGGAGAAGGGATAGGCTACCCAGTCCAGTATACTTGGGCTTCCCTTGTGGCTCAGCTGCTAAAGAATCTGCCTGCAATACCAGGAGACCTGGGTTTGATCCCTGGGTTGGGAAGATCCCCTGGAGAAGGGAAAGGCAACCCATTCTAGTATTTTGGCCTGGAGAATTCCATGGACTGTATAGTCCATGGGGTCGCAAAGAGTCAGACATGACTGAGTGACTTTAAAAAAAAAACACACATATATCCTCCACCTATTCTGATAACCCCCAGTTATAATAAAATATAATGACAAATATATGTAAATAATTTTAACTTGAGATGTACTTCTAATCAAAGAACAAAAATAAGTCTAAGATGAATTTAAAGTGCTATGGAATGATGCCTTTGGAATTAAGGTGAAATTTTATATGTTTCTACATATAAAAACATCATATAATTTAGATGATGTTTATCAACGTTTATAGTGTTTTTAAAAGCAGGTTGGCTTTCCTAGCTGGATTTGGCTAAAGCTAACATTAAATTAATTTGCATTCCCTGGGCACACACTGTCTGAAATGGTGCTGAGCACTTGAGGGAAATTGACCTTGGATGAAACATTTGCTGCCAAAAAACAAAGTGCCCAATCTCCACATAGATAATGAAGAACTGACTCTCAGAGTTATCAGATGGCAATGTGAACCAGGGCCCGTGACAACCCTCAAGTGGCATCATTTACGAAAACTCACAGTCACACCAGTGATAATAGCTAAAGGCTTAATGCCAGTCAGATGTAAAACAAACCCTGAGCAGGCAGGGAGCACCTGAAAAAAACATTGTATCTGATGAAAATACATGCCAATTAACATGCATCTAAGAACTGAACATTACAAGGAACGACTTCAAAGTCTTGTGCTATGAATCCTTTCTTCTAACTTTCCTTCCTGCCTGCCATCTCTGGCTTCTCCCTTCCTTCTTCATTCCTTCCTTTCATCCCAACCACATTGCGCAGGGTATCTAAGGTGGTTTATAAGGAGTTCAGTTCAGTTCAGTTGTTCAGTCATGTCCGACTCTTTGCAACCCCATGGACTGCAGCATGCCAGGCCTCCCTGTCCATCAGCAACTCCAGAGCTTGCTCAAACTTATGTCCATCAAGTTGGTGATGCCATCCAACCATCTCATCCTTTGTCATCCCCTTCTCCCCCTGCCTTCAATCTTTCCCAGCATCAGGGTCTTTTCCAATGAGTCAGTTCTTCGCATCAGGTGGCCAAAGTATTGGAATCTCAGCTTCAGCATCAGTCCTTCCAATGAATATTTAGGACTGATTTCCTTTGGGATTGACTGGTTTGATCTTCTTGCAGTCCAAGGGGACTCTCAAGAGTCTTCTCTAACACCACAGTTCAAAAGCATCAATTCTTTAATGCTCAGCCTTCTTTATGGTCCAATTCT